AATCAATTTTATTTTTGACAAACCAGCATTTTGTCGAACAATTGTATTTTGCCTATTCCTTCGAATAATTACTAAATTTAACAATACTTTAACGAAATCTATTTGGTTTTTTAATTCCTCAGCAACCAGATCAGAGATATAGTAGTCAGCGCACAACATTTTTTTGAGACAGCTCCCAGAGATCAGCTATAGCTCATTTCCAAATAAATATTTTTACCAATACTATGTCTTAAAATACAGTTAAAAGATACGACGAAAATATTTGAAAAATTATCCTTTAATAGGCCTTCTAACGGATTAAAGCCTCTTAAGAACATGCCGACAAAGTTAAAATCTTTGATTTTACACAATTTCTCCGATCTTAGAGTACCTTTTATATACAGTTAATATTTAATTGGATTTTTATAGTAGCTGAATTACAGTTTTTGGTTATTAAACACAATTTCTCCACTTTTAAAACTTTTTACAAGTTTTCAAATTGACTTTAAATTGCAGGTACTGCAAAAATTAAATATTCTCTAAAACATCTTAATTTTGATTTACATGCCTTTTTAGCCGCAAGTCCAGACTGGCTTAAGCGTATAGTTGTGGAGCAGGACTTTGAAGTCCAGGAAGAGGGGAGATCGGGTGTTTAAATTCAATTGAAGGCTATTGGCTTTTAGTTTTAGATATATTTTCTTATATTCGATGAGTCTCAGCCAAGTAAGTCGCCTGTCAAGGTGGACACCGAGATACGTTACGTCGTCATCGTGGGAGCTGCGTATTATTCAGGAATAGTGGAGGACACGTTTGTCTGTAGAGTGTGAACGTTATATGTTTGCACCTTTGGTCAGTTATTTTTATATGGCAGTCTGACAACCTCTGCTCCAATACCACGAGGTGATCAGCTAGAAGTGCTGCTGCTTGAGTTGGCCATCTGAACAGACTAATGACCGCGGTATCGTCTGCGAATGTAGATGTTGTTAAACGCTCTTTGGTGGAAATATTCGCTGTGTATAAGACGCAAAGAATTGGATCAAGGGCGCTTGAGGAACTACAACTTTATTACGTAGTCGTCAGACATTGTATCGTTGCATATATTAAGTAATCGTGTAGTGTATCGTTGCATCTTGCTGAGAAGACTCTATTGTAGAGGTACGGCTCAAGAAGCTTGTGGGTGTATTCGGGCAAGATCATTTCAGTTTTATACATTAGACCATCAAGTCAGACTGGGTCGAAAGCCTGCGTGACTTCAAGGAATTTTGCACTGCTGTATTCCCGATTCTCGAATGCTGTTCGTATTTCTGATGTTGACTTGATCTATGGTTCCATAAAAGAGAGAGTAAACTAATTGCTCTGTACAAAGCTGGTTGTGTATGATCTTGGTATCATTATGGGCCCAGAAATTCTAATAGGAGTCACTGTTTTTGCCGGGGCGCTTAGCTTTGGGTGGTCTTTCCAAAAGGGATGCTTTGTACCCATTGGCGATAGTTTTTCAGAGTACCGGCGTTGTGCTTGTTCTTCTTCGTGCTTAAGAGCCCTGTTAAGTCTGCGAGTAGCCTTAAAATATTGCTTGGAGATTGGTAATCTGATTTGCTAAGTGCGTCTCAAACGTCTTTTTTCCGAAACAAGCTGTTCAATTTGAGGATTAGTTTTGTAACGGTTTGTCTGCACATCTTGTGTCGTCCAGTTCGGCTCGTTGCGAATTATATACTGCGTGCAACAGAAAGACAACTTTTGGGAAAGTTTCATGCAGATACATTAAAACTGAGAGACTAGTTTGGGTAGAATCGAACAGACGGACGGACAGACGGGAATGGCTAGATCAACTTTCCTAGTGACTCTCTTGTTAAAAAAACATGTATATTTTTTGAGTTGGAAATGTCTCATTCACTGCGTTGCATTTTCTAACTGAAATTATAATACCCTCTCCAGGAATATAAAAATATATTTAATGTATCTTAAAATGCTATTAAATATACTTATAAATACTCTATAAACCGAAATAACAACGCACAGAGAACTGTAGATTCCAAAGGAAATTAAACACCATTCTATTAAAAGTATAGCTTTTAAAGGCACTTTAAGATTTAATAAATGGTTTCAGATCAAAGATTTAAATTTTTGAAGTCATATTCTAGAGACATGGTTAATGGTTCGTACCGGGGACCTATATACCTTTGCAGAGGGTATTTTAATTTCAGTCAGAAGTTTGAAACGCAGTGATGAAAACATTTTCGAACCTATAAAGTATATATATTCTTGATCAGCATCACATCAGAGTCGATCCAACCATGTCTGTCCGTCTGTTAATCTGTCCGCAGGCCGTCCGACCGCTTCTACGCAAACTTGTCATTCAGTTTTAAACCTATCTGCATGAAACTTTCCCAAAAGTTGTCTTTCTATTGCAGGTAGTATATAAGTCGGAACGATACGATTTGGACGACTATAATATATAGCTCCCATAGGAACAATCAGAGAAATAAATGAAAACAAGAAAGGAAGCAAACTTCGGCAAGCCGAAGTTCATATACCCTCGCAGCTATTGCAAGAATTTACTTGCGTATATGTTTAAAAACATTGAAGCTATGATGATTTGCAGCTCAATTCTTAGATATTTATTTTATATATTTATATTATTTCTATGATATAGTCGTTCGTTATACCGTAATTCTGAAATATTTAACCATTACTATATGTCGAAGAACTAATAAAAAAAATTAAAAAATAGCAAAGTTATAATTTTTTTGTATTCATTTCCGATTGATCCTATGGGAACTATATGATATAGTCATCCGATTTTGATGAAATTTAAACCGTAATTCTGAAGGAGTTAACCATTGCTATATGTCGAAAAACTAATAGAAAAATTGAAAAACGGCAAAGTTATAGTCTTTTTTGTATTTTTATACCCTTGCAGAGATTATTATAATTTCAGTCAGAAGTTTGTAACGCAGTGAAGGAGACATCTCCGACCCTATAAAGTATATATATTCATGATCAGCATCACTAGGTGAGTCGATCTAGCCATGTCCGTCCGTCTGTCCGTCTGTCCGACTGTCCGTCCGTTTATATGCAAACTAGTCTCTCAGTTTTAAAGCTATCTGCATGAAACTTTCCCAAAAGTTGTCTTTCTATTGCAGGTAGTATATAAGTCGGAACGAGCCGGATCGGACGACTATAGCATATAGCTCATATAGCTCACATAGGAACAATCGGAAAAATTAATGAAAAAAAAAATTATAACTTTGCTGGTTTTTAATTTTTTTGTTTAGTTCTTCGACATTTAGTAATGGTTAAATATTTCCGATTTACGGTTTAAATTTCATCAAAATCAGACGAATATAGCATATAAAGTATAAATAAATATTCGGCTTGCCGAAGTTTTCTTTCTTTCTTGTTTTTCCGATTGTTCCTATGGGAGCTATATGATATAGTCGTCCGATTTTGATAAAATTTAAACCGTAAGTCGGAACGGTTAAATATTTCAGAATTACGGTTTAAATTTCATCAAAATCGGACGACTAATAACATAAAACTTCAATAGAAGAGAACGATATCATATAGCTGCCATAGAAACTATCAAATAATTGAGCTGCAAATCATCATAGCTTCAATGTTTTTAAACATATACGTAAGTCAATCATAATATTAACGTTTTCAAAAATATGTTATTTTTGCAATAGCTGCAAGGGTATATGAACTTCGACTTACCGAAGTTTGCTTCCTTTCTTGTTTTTTATAAATATCCCTATATAATTTGAAATTTAGATTGTTAAAAGAATATTAAGTTTTGCATTAGATTCAAGGTTATATAAACTTCGGCTTGTGGAAGTTTGCTTCCTTTCTTGTTTATAATACGTTGGAGTATTAAGTGTGTTTGACACCAAAAAAAATTACTCCAAATATATGGGGTACATAATTTAAACAAAATCAATGTTGTATATCGACCTTTACCAAGCACCCATTCGCACGACCAAACAATGTACAATTGTACGTAAAACATTCGTGCAGTAAAGATATTTCCATCTAATTTACATGTAAAAATACTTCGTATTACACATCAATGTTTGTATACATAAAACAATAGTGCAGAGGTAGAATAAAAAGTAGTGAGTCAGATTTTTTAATCCTAATTTAATAAAATATCTGTTAATATATTATGTTTAAATGTTATTCATGTAAAACGTTTGTAACTTATCTAATGTTAAAATATTATCGATACGGGTAAGATAGAAAATTATGAGAGTCGGAAAGTGTCTGCGCAATAGCTCTCACGCATTTATTTTCATTCGTACCGTTGGTTTGTCTTCGCCTCTCTTGTTCGGATAGACTTCGTAAACCTTCATCGTTAAGTTTTATTTTTAATGGCCGAAAGAGAGTAATTCGGCAATTGTTGTGGCAGTATATACAATTTTGCGAAAATCTATATAAGCAAACAATTTTTGGCTTTAAATAATTCAGAAATATTCGGGAACAATAAAACACCGAATTGTCAATTCACAAATAATACCGTAATCAGTGGACCCTTGGAAAACAATATAAATATTACTACAAATAAAAAAGTCTAGTGCGAAGAAATCAACAGTGAAAATTCATTGAGGAAATAAATAATATTAAAAAACGCAAAAACTTGTTTATAAACTTATAACAATAATTAAACAGTGTTTTATCATTTTATTAATTTAAAATATAATTGCCTTCAGACAAGTTTTAAACTAATATTAAACACAAAAAAAGATAGTAGATTGAGATAGAGCACTTAACAGTGCTCGGCTAAGATGGAAGATAAAATGAGTAAACCCTCGGGTGACGTAGAAAGGCTTCATTCTCGACATAAAAATATATATATTTTAGAAAAAATAAATTAAATACACATAAACAGCAAAAACCTCCATGACCTGTATTGCAACAGGCGGGCAACAGGGTAACTTTGGTTAACACTCCGATATCTAATTGGTGATAGAGAACGTTATTATATTTATTTATGAAAAGTAATTAACATTAAATCTACCAATATTAATAACTATTACTACTAGGTTGTTGACCCAATAAAAGTCACACAAGAAAAAAGCATCGTTTTTTTCCAAAACTTTTCGGTATCTTTATAAAGTATATGACTATTAAAACTTGTATGAAACTAAAAAAATAGCAACAGCTAAAATTCAAAATAAATACTTCAGAAAAAAAACTTAATGTAATGTCAATGTTATTCAAGGAGTAAAACTTCATCTGAACATTTAAGAAGCTTATGGAGCTTAACGGATACGCTACAATTGCAAACAAATTAAACAAAAACTCATTCGAATTAAAGTTTTTAGCTTAATTTTCACCATTAATTATTAGACTTAGTCTTAAAAAATATAGTAAATGTATAACTAGTGGTCGGTATCCAACGGATCTTTACAGAAGTTCTATTAAAATACCTATAATGCCAAACTGTGGGACTTCTAATGGTGAAAGGACTTTGGACTCAAAGGAATTAATCAACAAGAAAATCTGTCGCGATGGAGAACTACTAGTTAATCAGTTAAAAAAATCTTCAAAATCCCAAGACCAGGATGTTGTTAATAAAACCTATGATTACTATTCGGCGTTGCCAGACATTAGTACCCAACAAAATAATCGCAATGACTTGGAAAAATTCTTTGCTGTTCCTTCAAGTAATTCGTCCGGAATATCACCATCATTATCGGAACTGCTTTTGCGCCAGCCAAAAGCGACTACCCAATATTGGCAAACATCACTGTCCTCAGAAAAATGTCAAGAACAGGTTTTTCGCAATCGAAATGAACTGTTTTCTTGCATATACACTAATAGTATGCTAAACCAACAGAATTGCTCTCAGCAACAGCTTTTAGCCACGCAACTATTTTATGCTCGACTTTTTCAACCACAGTTAGCAGAACGGGATTCCGGGTCGGAAATATCAATTGAAAAAACTATAAATATGGTTAATTTTTCAGGGTTAAAAAAGCCCATAATCCGTCAAAATGAACTCCCACCAACGCCATCTTCGCAAGATAATAATAACAACATTGAATTACTTAATGACGGCGACGATTGCTTAAGATGTGGTGATCAACCTTCACTTGAATTTTCTAATCAAAGCCAAAGCACAAGGCAGGAAAATATGCAAGATTTTGAAAATTGTAATCCTGTTTTTAATAATGCACCTAACTTTAAGCTCAGTAAGGACGCTAAGTCTGCAGAAGGGTACGACCTACAACACGCTAGTGAATTTATACGGGAACATAAGAACGTACTTTTTGACGTCAAAAATAGACTAGAACAACTTTCTCTATTATCAGCTAAATTTAGAAAGAGTCTGAGCGTGCGCCTTTGCCACGTCGATATGAGTAATGGTTCTGAATCAGCCCTTGAAGCGACTGTGGGACGACAACTAGATGGTAATTGCAAGTCAATTGAAAGCGTTTTGGATCAAGTCAGACGACTTTATAATCAATGGAGCAGCGCTGAGCTCTATTACCTTCGAAGCTTACAACGCTTAGGACTCACATCAGCAGAAGGGCCTGAATTTAGTGCAACGCAAACTCATAACATTATGGCTCTGGCTGCAATAGCATTATCTAATGAAAATGAGCTTTTAACTAAGAAAACTACCTGCATTCAAATTAACTCTAAAAACTTGGACACTAAAGGCGACTCTGACTTGTTACCTCCTTTAACAAAACCTAAGACCCTGAACGAAATAGAGGATATTATATTACAACTAGCTTCAACTATTAATATGCATCAATCATATAAAGATAGCACCACACCTGATGCCTATAGTGATAGTGCTAAAAGCGATTCCGAAGAACCCGTTATATCACCGACCTGCTTATGGCATACGAAAAAAGGGAGCTTTCGACGTAAAGAGGAGGAAGAGCATTGCACAACTGCAGCTGAAATAATTTTAGAATATGCTTCATTGTCTTCATCATGTAATGCAAACAAAACTCGCGTGCCTGATACTTCCACCTCTGGGTCAAACTGCACTGATACTATTGAGAATTTTAATCCCATAACACAATCTCCGATTTTGTTAAATAACATCCGAGAAGGTTCCGCTGTGTCAATCATTACCGACCCAGCATTTTTTTCCGAGATTTCCACTGCACCTTCTACCACCCCGACAAGTAGTAATAGTGGCTGCTCGACTGGACTGGTTTCTGGAGTTTTAGGAATAAGTCACAATCGACGAAAACCAAAGTTCGCCCGGCGCATCGAAACCCTGACTTCAGAATCTTGTAAACCTAATATTTTTATGGGAAATTGCGATCCGGCAGTCTCCTACCAAGTTAAAATATCGCCATCAATTACAACATTGGCTAAAACGTCAGAAAATTTGTCACCTCCCATTCATAAAACCACGTCTTCAAATAAAGTTGCTGCTGTAAACACAACGCAGGAGCGTTCAATAGCCAATATGTTCAAAGCAAGGCTTAGTGCTTTAACTGCAGATACTGGACCAACCGAGACTGAGACTGAAATTTTACCCATACTTGATGCTCCATATGACTTAAGTATTGGAACCAAGATAAAAGACATGTAATTTAAAATGCCTTTCTCTAAATTACATTTAAGAATTCAACTTATACAATTTATTCTCAACTTAAAATCTACATACCGTTGTTTTTTATTTTGTTTTCGCTTTTCAGTCAAAAGTTAGCAAAGCAAAGGAGAAGAGACTTACAAAAACATCATAAGGCGAGTCGTAATAGCCATTTTCCGTCTGATTCTACGCAAGCTAAAATTCTAAATTAATAATTTTGGGTTTTCTTTTTTAAATTTTAGTTTTGATTTTATCAAAATCTAATGTTTACATAAAATATCTGTAATGCACAAGTGATCGGTTCGATTCGATTTTTTGTTCCTGTGCAATTTAATATTTCAAAATTACTTTTTTAGTTTTATTAAAATTAGCGAACTTAATAATATAGCTGCCACAGGAACGATCGAAAAAATCAGGGGCCAATCGACAGAGCTTAATTGTCTTTATACATATAAATATGCAACCCCTAATTAAGGGTTGTTTTAAAGAATATGTTATTTTTGTATCTGCAAGGGAATACAATATATTATAGTATGCTATGATCTACGAAAACTATCTCTGGCTAGACCAAAATAGCTGATCAGCCCTAGCTTAATCTCATCTCGTTCGCAGCTTCGACACAAGAGTCACAACAGAAATGCAAGTTATTTTAGACTGATCAGCCATAAATAGAAGGCTGTAACTAAGTAATAATTTTATACGTAAAACTGTACCAAAAAAACAGCAATATGTAGGCGGGCAGTCAAAAGTACCGCAAGAGCGCACAAACACTTTGAGCATTCGGGAGAGAATGGGAAAGCGAGAGAGCAGGAGCGTACTCCAGTTAATGTGCTTGCAAACCCGACGCCAAAAACAATACCGCGGCGTAGACGGACTAAGCTCAAAAGAAAGACTCCAGAAGCACAGAAATCAAAACAAAGAAAAAAACACAAAAGTTTAAATAGTTTTGTTAATATTTATCAATAACAAGAGAGAAAGCAAGCTTCAGCAAACCGAAGTTCATATACCCCTGCAGTTATTGCAAGAATTAAACATTTTTGAAAACATTAAAATTATGATATAACTTGCGTATAAGTTTAAAAACATTGAAGCTATGATGATTTGCAGCTCAATTATTAGATAGTTATTTTATTATTTTTATTATTTCTATGGGAGCTATATAATGTAGTAGTCCGCTTTTGATGAAATTTAAACCGTATTTCTGAAATATTTAACCATTGCTATATGTCGAAGAACTAAAAAAAAAATTAAAAAACAGGAAAGTTATAATTTTTTTTTATTTATTTTTTCGATTGTTCCTATGGGTGCTATATATTATAGTCGTCCGATCCGGCTCGTTCCGACTTATATACTACCTGCAATAAAAAAACAACTTTTGGGAAAGTTTCATGCAGATAGCTTTAAAACTGAGAGACTAGTTTTGCGTAGAAACGGACGGACAGACGGACATGGCTAGATCGACTCTCCTAGTGATGCTGATCAAGAATATATATTCTTTTTAGGGTCGGAAACGTCTCCTTCACTGCGTTGCAAACTTCTGAATGAAATTATTATTATTATTATTATTATTATTATTATTATTATTATTATTATTATTATTATTATTATTATTATTATTATTATTATTATTATTATTATTATTATTATTATTATTATTATTATTATTATTACTATTATTATTATTATTATTATTATTATTATTATTATTATTATTATTATTATTATTATTATTATTATTATTATTATTATTATTATTATTATTATTATTAATATTAATATTATAATATAATATAATATAATATAATATTAATATTAAAAGTAATTAAAAAGTAATATTTTTTGATTGTTAATTTCACGATCTTGGAGAACACCCTTTATGCATTTCTAATAGATTTAAATATAAATAAATTTTAAGGAAAGTTAAACAACAATTATACTTTTCTTACGGACCAGTCGACCCAAACTGGTTTCGAACCTAGGACCTTTGGATTTGTAGACGCTTTAGCAAGTTGCGCTACACTGGCTTCACATTCGACAATGCACTAAAGCCATATAAGGATTAAAATATTTTAAATCAAATGGCGTTTATTAGCTAATATTTTACAGTCAGCTTGATAATAAATTAAAATAAAACAAGAAAGAGAGCAAACTTCGGCAAGCCGAAGTTCATATACCCTTGCAGCTATTGCATGAATTAAATTTTTTTTTTTTAATTTAATTTTTATTTACAATCCGTCTAATGACAATAAGTAAATTGTATGTCTAATATTTACATAACAGGTTTACTGATTTCCAGTGAAACCTGCTATTAATTTAATTTGTCGTTTACTTAAATTTGCCTATCAGGGAGATCAAGAATGTGGAATCTTTTGAGTCTTCTGAATGTTAAGCTTTTGACTACTAGACCTAGGGCTAAATTATTTACACGATTGTGAAATCTGTCTGTATATTTCTTACTATATTTTTTATCTCCTCTTTTACAGTTGGAATATTGAGATATATATGAATATTTGCATTGGTTACATATTATGGAGCGTTAACAATTTGTCGCAAGATTTTTGATAGGTAGCGCTGAAGTATTTCAATATTTGAATTGCTAGCTGTTCCCCAGAGTTGGATAGCGTAGGTCCAAACAGGCTTCAAAATGGCTTTGTAGAGAAGAATTTTGTTTTCCAAAGTGGCTGCTGATTTACTACCTAGTAACCAGGACATTTTCAGTGTTTTCAGTCTGAGTTGCTGTCTTTTCGCTTTTATGTGGTGCTTCCATGTTACTCTGCGGTCGAGGTGCATGCCAAGATACTTCACACAGGTATCTTGTGGAATTTCTGAGCCGTTAGGTGTGAGATTTGGACAGTTTCCTGGTCTTAGTGCAAAAGTTATTTGGACAGACTTCGGGGAGTTGATTTTAATTTTGCAGCGAAGGAACCAGGTCTCAATCAGACTGAGCTCACATTGCAAGAGATGAGATGCTTCGTCTCTAGATGAGCTTGTTGACAGAATGGCTGTATCGTCAGCATATGTTGCAATGGTGCAGTTGTTTGTTACTGGCATATCTGCCGTGTATAGTGTGTAAAGGACTGGTCCCAATACACTCCCTTAAGGAACGCCTGCGTTTATGCGAAGTAGTGTTCACGTATCATTTCTCTGCTGCACGTAGAAGCATCTCTTAGACAAGTAGGATCTCATTAATAAATAGAATGGAGTAGGCAGCCATTTCTTTATCTTGTAGAGCAATCCATTGTGCCAAACACGATCAAAAGCTTGCTGAACGTCAATAAATGTTGCAGTACAATATTTTTTATTCTCAAGTGCAGATACAATTTCATTGATAACCCTATGACATTGCTCAGTGGTCCCGTGTTTTTTTCTGAATCCGAATTGATATTCAGGAATGAAGGCAAGTTCGTCCAAAATTGGCAACATCCTCTTCAGTAGTATTTTTTCAAATACTTTCGAGAATATTGTCAACAGACTAATGGGACGGTAAGATGATAGTTCAGTTTCTGTCTTGTTTGGCTTGAGGATCATAATGATTTCTGCAAATTTCCATTGACTTGGGAAAGGGTCTAGCCTGCATGAATTAAACACTTTTGAAAACATTCAAATTATGATTTACTTGAGTATATGCTGAAAAACATTGAAGTTATGATGATAAAAATATATAAAATATTATTATTATTTTATATATTTTTATTATTTCTATGGGAGCTATACGATATAGTCGTCCAATTTTGATGAAATTTAAACCGTAGTTCTGAAATATTTAACCATTACTACATGCCAAAGAACTAAAAAAAAAATTAAGAAACAGCAAAGTTATAATTTTTTTTTTATTTATTTTATCGATTGTTCCTATGGGAGCTTATGCTATAGTCGTCCGATCTGGCTCGTTCCGACTTATATATTACCTGCAATAGAAAGACAACTTTTGGGAAAGTTTCATGCAGGTAGCTTGCAAACTTCTGACTGAAATTATAACACCCTCTGCAAGGGTATAAACATAACATTAACAAAAAACAAACAAAATGGAAATGAAACTGTTCTTCTATGCTGGGATTTGAACCTAGAACTCTATAGCTACCCAGTATTTGATATTTGAAGACATTTACGAGCTCGAAAGTGAGTAAGTCCGTCTGCGAACATTTAGCGAACCTGCATTCAACGTTCGCAGATTTGTATAATTTCTATGCCCGTTGACGCTCTACAACAAAGAGATCAGGAAGGCCAAACGGAATAACTATAGGAACTTCTGTGAGGCAATAAGTAACGTCAACGAGGGCGCGAGACTGCAAAAAGCAATGGCTAAAAGTGCAGCGGATAGTAATTTAGCCCTGAGGAAAGGGAATAACACCTTCACCTCCACGGATCGGGAGAAATTAGAATTGCTATTTGACACGCATTTCCCGGGGAATACTCCCACTATGGGAAACGCAAGGCGTGATCAACATAGAACCCCTAGGACAGTAGCCAGTGACTGGGCAACAGCCAAATCTATAGTTACGCCCGAGAAACTCAAATGGGCTATTGGAACCTTCCAACCATTTAAATCACCGGGATTAGACATGATCTCTCCAGCTTTCTTACAGCAGGGGCAGGAACTACTCCTAACCCGCCTAAGAAGACTAATGGTGAGCAGCCTAGCCCTTGGGTATATCCCAAGTGCATGGTGCAGCGCTAGGGTGGTCTTCATCCCCAAAATCGGGAAGAAAGACATCACCAGCCCAAAGTCCTTCAGACCTATCAGCTTAACTTCGTTTTGTCTCAAAACGCTGGAAAAACTGGTAGACTACAACATCAGAAGAACAGCTCTCAGAGACTGTCCGCTGCAAAACACACAGCATGCATATAGAGCAGGCCGTTCAACAGACACTGCACTTTATCAACTATGTCGCACCCTAGAAGGGGCAATTGACAGCAAAGAAATAGCTATCTGTGCCTTTCTAGACATAGAGGGAGCCTTCGACAACACATCACATGATGCAGTTCGAGCTGCCCTGTCCAGAAGGAACATAGACACTACTACGAGCAAATGGATTGGCAACCTACTTGAATCCAGGCAAGCAACATGTACACTGGGTTCGGAAAGAGTGACAATTGCTACCAGCAAAGGCTGCCCGCAAGGAGGAGTACTGTCCCCTCTGCTATGGAGCCTGCTAGTAGATGACCTTCTCAGCAAGCTTGCTGGAAAAGGAATTCAATGTCAAGGATACGCCGATGACATCGTGATAATCGCCAGAGGCAAATTTGAAGCGACACTCTGCGACATCGTCCAACTCGGACTAAGGACAACGCTAGACTGGTGCAGGGAGGTTGGACTCAACTTAAATCCTGCTAAAACAGTCATCGTTCCTTTCACAAAGAAGTACAAACTACAGAGAATGAGACAAATCTCACTGCTAGGAACTCCTATAGAAACTAGCCGAGAGGTTAAATATCTAGGAATCACGTTAGATAGCAAACTGACTTTCGCTTCCCATGTCCAAAAAACATGCACTCTATACCTGTCGGAAAATTGCTGGGAAATCCTGGGGAACCAGGCCTCAGATAATACGATGGCTATACTTAATGATCGTGAGACCAATCCTCACTTACGGAGCACTTGCATGGGGCAAACGAGCTAAGCTCATCAGCATGCAAAACCAGCTAGGAAAACTACAAAGACTTGCCTGCGTATGCATGACAGGGGCAATGAGAACCTGTCCTACAGCTGCCTTAGAAGTTTTGATGGAGCTAACACCACTCCACTATGTGATTGATATCCAACGCAAAGCTACACTCCTGAGAATAAGCACTGAGGGCACAGGTAGTGGTTGCATTCTAAATAACAGGGATGCGACTAATTTGTTAGGTGAGGTGCCCCTAATACTCCAACCTAGGGATGAAATGACAGCCGAACTAATCTTCGAGCAGAACTTCACAGCACACCTAGGCAATAAGAAAGATTGGACCACACTGTCTGAAGTGCATCCGATGGTTAAACACACCATTGCATGGTACACAGATGGATCCCTGACACAACAAGGCACGGGCCTTGGAGTGGTAGGGCCTCGCATAAAATACCACGAATCCCTTGGCCAATACACCAGCATATTCCAGGCTGAGGTATGTGCCATTGGACGTTGTGCAGAGCTCAACATACAGCGTGGATACAAGGAAAAGGACATATCGATCCTTTCGGACAGCCGAGCAGCAATTACTGCTTTACATAGCAACAAAATCACCTCGAAGCTAGTCCTAGAGGTGAAGAGTAAGCTAAATATACTGGGCAGTCGAAACAGGCTGGCCCTCAGATGGATTCCGGGACATAAGGACATATCCGGAAATGAACTTGCCGATAAAATAGCAAAACTAGGAGCCGAACAGCCCCTGGTAGGCCCAGAGCCCTACTGTGGCATAGGGAGGCACACTATAAAAGAATACCTTAGGAAAGCGGAAGGCGCCATGAGACAAGAACACTGGAGAAATACCCCAGGTCTAAGGCAAGTCAAAACTCAAATAAATAACTATAACAAGAAGAGGTTCAAGGAACTTATTCAACTGGGGAAAAACTCACTTAGGATCGTTACCGGATTACTAACCGGGCACTGTAGACTGAAAAGTCACCTAGGTAAGATGGGAATAACCAGCAGTGGAACTTGCAGATTCTGCGACATAGAGGACGAAACCTCTAGACACATCATTGCAGACTGTCCGGCGTTAGCAAGCATAAGATGTAAAATCTTAGGAACCAGAACTCTTACACCTGAGCTCCTAGTAAGAATCAACCCACTAAAACTCCTCGACTTTATTCGAGGAAGTGGGTTGATATCTGAGCTGTAGGCTCTGAATGGGGGTACAATAGATCTTATAGGTCGCGGTACACTGGACACCCCGATATTAATAATAATAATAATGCCCGTTTGCGAACGTTTTAGGATATATTCTTCCCAGACAGACTGAAGGGCATGGCTATGTCGACTGGCTATTGATCGTGATCAAGAATATATATCTTTATTTATATCTTAATGATGACAATCTATAAGCGCACAAAGAAATTTTGACACCTAAGGTATAGGGCGTAAAAATTGTAAAAAAGGTTTAATCGGGTTGGACTTTTTTTTTCGTATTATCTATATAGTGTTAAGCTGAATCAAAATGATAAGACAAAATGATAAGACAATTTTTTGAGATATTTTATATAATATCAAACCCAATGGCAGAAAAACCGTCTGAAAAATTAAAGATAAATTAGACATGTGTGTGTTGAATTTGGTTTTAGTTTATTATTTTACCGTTCATACATTTTGCTTAACAAAAATGAAAAAATCTAACTTTTAACCTTATCGTAATTATATGATGTAGGATGGTTATGATGTAGGAAATAAGAAACTATAATTATAAAAAAATTAGTGCTATAAGAAAACAACATTTTGATAGTTTATATATATATATATATATATATATATATATATTTTCTATACGGTTCAGATGGTCAGTCCATAACTTCGACAGAACAATCTTGCAAAAACTGTGTAGTTTGAAGGGACGCATGGACTCGCATTATCCTGCATAAATATATGTGGCTTTTCCCGATGTTCCATCAAATATGGAAGCAGGCTATTGTTCAGTACCCGTATGTACTCACTGCTGTCCATCCTGGAGCTTGTGAACTGTAAATTAAGAGTTCCAAGCTTATTAAAAGCGCGCCAAAGCATAACTGATCCGCCCCCGAAATTTCTCCTTGAAAAATTAAGGGCCTCCGTCCTCAAATCTCGCCAATAATGTCTAAATCCATCTGGTCCATGGAGATTAAATTTTTTTTCATCCGAAAAAATTACCTTTTATGAAGAAAAATGATAAGGGTAATATAAAAGATATATGCTTAATTGAACTTACCGAGTCCCAATTAGTATCTAAATTGCGTTTAGAACAACTAAGGCGAGCCATTCTATGACGCTTAGTAATCTTTGGTACAAAAAAAAAGTGAAACATGTCGAAAATAACTTAAGCTGACTAAGGTGTCACATTGGTCTTGCGTTGGGAAAATGTAAACCTCCCAGATATCAGATCTAAAGATGGCTTTTAAAATAATTCGAAACTTACTTAAAAAAAAAAAATAATTTTTTTCGAGTTCCTCAGTTTTTTAAAAAGTATCAATAATTTTAATTTAAGATTTTTTCTAAAACAAAAAAACTTTATTGGAACCGAAAAAGGGTTGTTTTGGTAAGCAAATAAATGTACATAGCTTCCATAGCTCCGAACAAAAATTAAACCTTTGCTGTTTTTTAACTGATTTGAATATACTTCGATATATAGCAATGGTTTAGTATTATATTATAATTACGATTTTAATTATATTAAGAACTGCTATGGGCATAAAGTACGGAACAAGGGTCTTATAAAATATATTTAAATTTAGCAATAGCTGCAAATGTGTATAAAAATTCGGCTTGCTGAAGTTTGCGTTCTTTCTTTTTGTATATAATATTTAATAATAAAAAATTAATTATTACATTAAAAATGTATTTTTATTTTTACAAAAAGGTCTACCGAACACTAAATATTTATGGTTTTGATTTACAGAAACTTGGACACAAAAAACTCATCGAGTACACAATCCAACGACTCTAAAGATAGTTCAAACGACAAAAAAAAACCCCATATTAAGAAACCACTGAATGCGTTCATGCTCTATATGAAGGAAATGCGTGCTAAAGTTGTTGCCGAGTGTACACTGAAAGAATCGGCTGCTATTAATCAAATTTTGGGGAGACGGGTAAGACATTTATTTACATCATATATATTTTATATATTTTTTACGAAGTAAGTTTGATCCAATTTCAAATGCAATTAAAAATGTTTGGGTCTTTATTATTACCGTTTTCGGAACCGAGTTTCGTTAAATTAACCCATGAAATATGAAAAACAAGAAATTAGATTTATTCAATTTTCCGATAATGCGTTATAAATTATAAAAAACAGCTTCTAATGGATTACCTTATTAATAATACTTTTGTAGTGGCACGAACTTTCCCGCGAAGAGCAAAGCAAATATTACGAAAAAGCTCGACAAGAGCGTCAATTGCATATGGAGTTGTATCCAGGGTGGAGCGCACGAGATAACTATGGTTACGTGTCAAAAAAGAAAAAGCGAAAAAAAGACAGATCGACAACGGATTCGGGAGGTACTGCACAAAATTCTCAAAATGTTACACTACTTTCTTTTTATTGCATTTCACTTTTATATTATTTCATTTAATCACTACACACATACAACTTAAAGCACACATCTAACATTAAAAACTAACCCAATAAATCTAGAAATAACAGTACAAATCAAAACAAAAATCTTTACGTAATTTGTGTAAATACTTGAGTTAAATTAGAATAGTGTAAAGTTTCGTAACTAAAAATGAGTAATCACAAAAAAATCTACACAGATGTATAACCTAGCTTTCGTAGATTTGAAGATAGTTTAGACGAGTTTAACCATAGTTAAATGTAAAAATAGAAAGTAATTTTTAAATGTCTTTAAATCGGGATCCGTCAACTAACTTTTTTGTTTTTAATGTAAAATAAGAAAGACAAAAAAGCAGTATACATATTTATATATATTTACTTATAGACATAATTCGTTAATTTAAAATATAAAATATTCTTTTGGCTGAAAAACAAAAATTTGCAAATCAAGGGAAAATGGTGTGATTCAAATGGTTGAATCAATAATGTTATGATCGCAATAGACATAACATGTATTTTTTGTGGGTGTAAATGTTTCAGTAAGAAATTTTACATTACCTTATGATATTTATGAACGTCTATTGTAAATCAGTCAGCAGTCGTGGAAGAACTATAAAATAAGAATAAAATAAAAATGTTCAATAAAGACTAGTAAAATAAATAAGAACACAAAACACAAACACAATTAACATATTACTCTAGATTACAGCCAATATGCCTGTTCTATCCCCTATGCTATAAAAGTAAATGTATTACCAAATTTTGTTATTTTTTGTATTTAAATCTGTAAAAATCTTTATTGACTTGTAAAATAATAGAAATGCTTGAATTTATAAATAAGGGCTCGTTACGCGATTGGCTGTAAAATAGTGCTATTAATGAACAAATATTGGCAAAAGAGTTATACTAAAAAGCATAAGAAAAATTTAGTTGAAACATAATATTTTCTTATAATTTGTACTTTAATAGATTCTTTTCTTAAGAGTCTAACAAACGATGGTTGATTACCTTCCGAATCTTAATTAGGCATCTGGAATAGAATTGGCGAAAGCATGCGCCCGAAACCGTATTGAAGATCGATCAGTCCCAGCTTTTTAAACCTCGCATTTGTTCCGTCGGTGTATTAGTGCCCAGTCCACAGGATCGTTGATTTAGGCAATTCAACATAAAACATCAGCCTTTAAAATTATATCTTCACATTTTGAAATAACTAATTAATACTAGTAGAAGTTCAATTGGGTTGTTTTCACGTAGGATCTTTTAACACGAACTAAGTTTTGATAATATTTTTTCTATATTAGTTCCACGACTATTGGAAACAACAAACTTCAAACTAAATAATTTCTCCACAAAACAATCGGGGCTTAGGTGACGCCAACACAAGAAGCTAACAGATATTTTACTCTGTCTCTACATCAGCGACCACCACTGCCCTTTATCTAAGAAAAAGGACAGTGTTTTGCTGGCAGAGCGGCGGCAAGAGTGCTTCTAAACAAAAGCTCGATTAGAAAAATGTCTGTGTCTACCGATAGATATAGTTAGTTAAATATACAGGTCAATAACAAGCCTCTACAATGTCTCAGATGGAAGTGACAGACTTTCGCGATTTGTGGGAATTAGAGTGGGCGGGCCCACGTTTTAAAATAAACTTACGCTGCGTAGGCATAGCTAGAAATGGCATGCTATTTCCCAAATCTTTAGCAGACGGACAGACAGAGAGACGGTCGGACATGGCTAGATCGACTCGGCTATTGATAATGATCAAGAATATATATACTTTATATGGGCGAAAACTCAACGAGTAACGGGTATAAATAGATCATGGAGAAAAATAAAAAAACTTATTCCGTCGAAAAACCATTCTGGGAAATACAATTCACTAGAAGTTCATTTTCAGAAGACAGCCATTGCTAGATCGACTAGGGTAATTATGCTGACAATATAGGTGGAAACATATAAAATGCACTTATTCCTTTTGATCAAAACTATTACAGACGGTATTATTATTTCAGTCAGAAGTTTGCAACGCAAACCTATAAAGATATATATTCAGCAGAGAGTCGATCTAGTCATGTCCGTCTGACCGTCCGTCCGTCCGTCTAGTCTCTCAGTTTTAAAGCTATCTGCATGAAACTTCCCCAAAATCTGTCTTTATGTTCTATCTAAGTCGGATGAAGCCATATCGGTCGACTATAGCATATAGCTCCCATTGGAATAATCGGAAAAATAAATGGAAAAAATAATTTTTTTTTAGTTCTTCGACGTATAGTAATTGTTAAATATTCCAGAATTTCGGTTTAAATTTCTTTAAAATAAGTCGACTATTTTATATAGCTCCCATGGAAACAACCAAAATATAAAAAAAATATAACAAAATATGTTACTTCTCATTTTTTTAATGTTTTTTAAAATTCTTTTTGACAAATTAATAATTTGAAAACGATATCATATAGCTGCCATAGGAACGATCGAAAAATTAAGCTGAAAATCATCATAGCCTCAATGTTTTAAAACATATACGCATATAAATCGAAACTTAGATGTTTTAAAGAGTATTTAATTTTTTCAAGAGCAGCATACTTATATTTCGGTTTGTCGAAGGTTTTTCTTTTAATAATATGATTATTTCTAAGGAGCTATAAGATAAAGTCCGATTTTGATGAAATTTAAACAGCAAAGCTATAATTTGTTTTATTTATTTTTCCGTTTCTTCCTGTGTGAGGTCTATGCTACAGTCGTCCGATCCGGCTCGTTCCGACTAATATACTACATGCAACAGGATGAAAACTTATGGGAAAGTGTTATGCAGATTACTTAATAACCCTATAACTTCTAAAATAATAGTTTGATCTAGAATTTTGTGTCTACCTATTGATATGACCGAAAGGTAGCTAAAAGCTGGAGATTTGGGGTTTGAAATGCAGATTGGAGTTTATTTCAAACTTTAACGCCCACAAATCGTTTAAGACTGTCCCGTCACTCTGAGACAAGTTGGACCTTAGCTATTTGACACTTTGTGTGTGTTTCGGTAATACTATCGGTAAACGTATTATTATAGAAGTTATAAAGTTATTAAGGGTTCGCGTGGTTCTTATTAAATTCTATAACATCTCTAGATCATTGCTTCCGCTTGGCTGCAGCTCTGCCGGTGATCGCTGATGTAGAGTGACAGAACGAAAAAACTGTTAGCGGGAGGTTGGGGTGCTGCACGCTCTTTGCTTCTAGAGTTGACTATGCAGTTCGACAGATGGCGCCACCTAAACTGCGATTGTTTTGTAGGTATATATTTAGTCAGAAATTTGTTAGCAGAGTAACGGTTATCTTATAGTCGACTATAGCCTCTATTTAGAACCCGCCTGTTAAACACCAGGTCTCTGCTCTTGTAGTTTTCGAGGTCTTCACGTTTTAACGGACAGGAATCCTGGTAAAGAAAGCATATACTTATAGTGTTGGTAACGATTCCTTTTACATGTTTCATACCTTTCAAGGAATGCAAATACCTCTTCACTCTACCAGCAAAGGGTATACAAAATTTGGTGCCAATAACTTCCCCTCCAAGTGGGAACGGCGTTATGAGTTATAAAAACGGAAAAACCATATGGAACCATATATATTTCAAAATAAAAACCGTAATTTTCTTTTGCGAAAAAAGGAGAGTGAGGACACATAATTTCATTTGCAATGCTGCATAAAATTGTTTATATGCTATTTTTTACCCATACAATTTGTCTTGTTTTATTTTTAAGTATAGTACTTCGGACATTTTTTGAAACGAGGAGAGCTAAACGTGATTTTAGACATAATGGCAATAATGACTAGACTTTTCCACAGATTACTTTCCGCCCCTACGATTAAGCACTTGTTTTTTTGCCGTCCTTACAAATTTACCCACCATAATGTGTATATAAAGTTTTTTGCTAAGATATATAAGTTTATGTTTGGTCAAAGATATTAAATTAATATTCCCGTTGAAACAGCTTAGAAAAAGTATAAAGGTATTTTTTTTTAATTTATTAACTTAAAAGGGTCACGACTACATCTATCCGTTATGCGCTTCTGCTGTTACACTTCCTATATTGATACACATTAACCTACAAACACCCAAAACGCAGTTGGTATTCAGATTTAATATAGTTTTCTGTCATATATATTTGTTTACTTTATTTTGTACTCACTATTTCGAAATCTTCAGTATAGTTCTATATTTACAGGGAGTACTATACTAGTTTTTCTTCTTTGATACATTAGCAACCGCTGCCTCTGTGTGAAAGGTTCAAAACAAGACTTTCTCTGTTGCAAATTTAAATTGATCAGAATAATAATTTAATAAATAAAATAACATAATGTAAATGCAAAACGCTCAAACAATCTGCCACCAAACATTTTGGTTATATTTGTTTTAGTTAAATATTGGTTTTAGTTAAATTTGTTTATTGTAAATTGAGTTAAATAAAGTTATTTGTCTGTTATTCGAAATTATTTCTCAACGAAGTTATAATTTTATTTTATTTATTATTCTGATTGAACGGACAGACAGTCATGGCAGGATCGATCTAATGCCGAACAAGAATATATATACTCTATAGAGTCGGAAATATCCCCGTCACTGCATTGTAAATTTTCGATAAAATTATAACCTTTGGAAGGGCATTAATATCGAAAAGTTATATCAGCGCATACCTTTCAAAGGAACGATCGAAATTTTGTGTATATTTTATTTTTGAAATGTGTATCAGTACATGTAGTGACGATGAGCACCGGTAACCGTGCGCAAGGAGCCTACTATATATAGCCGCAGTATTCGAAGTCATCTAAGAATAGTCCGATCTTGTTATAATATAAAAATCAAAAGGTATCACTTTTATAAAAGTTTGTGTATACTAAGAGTTTTAAAATTTCATTTCGGAGAAAGTGATAAAAAATGTTTATCTTAAACTGAAGCTTTTGGAGCCGGTGGAGCAAAGTTTTTTTTATGACGTGGTTGTATTCTGGCATTAAATACGCGTCCAACGACACCACAATTATCTCAATGCGATACTCCGTTAAATAGATATACAATAAACTAGACAAATACAGCATTTTTGAAATGAGAACGTTTTTCCGTTTTTGGTTTGTATGTGCGTTTAGCGGGATTTAGATTTAGATTTCACATGCCCCCAACTTCCAAACGTCTAAAGCTACGGTTACGTGCTATATATCGGTTAGAAGGTATTTTTAATGGCAACTCTTGATATAGTGTAACACATTTTTCTCTAAAAATTCGCTTTTGAAACTTATTCAGCGTTTAAAAATGCAAACCATTTCATGTTTTTTAATTAGCGTTTTATGCTTATTTGAATGAGCAGAAATCTGTGCAAGTCCAATTCGATTATGTAAAATTCTTATTGGACTTAATACTTAGAGGACAGAACTTTGTTCTTCGGTTTTTTCATATACTTGTCATTTGGGAACAACTCCTAGACATGGTGCTGACGTACTTTTATAAAAAAATGGATTGTAGTCCTATACAAATTAAAAACAAAAAAAGGAAGCCAACTTCAAAAAGCCCAAGTTTGTATACCCTTGCAGCTTTTGAAAAAAATATTTTTTTTTTTTTTGATTTTTTAAAAAATTGCAGCTATAATGATTTTCAGCTCATTTTTTCGATCTTTTTTTTTATAGCCCCGATTGTTTCCATGGAATCTTTCTGATATATTCGTCCAATTTTAATCAAACTTAAAAATAAAACTAACAAAAAAATTTAAAAACAGCCAAGTTATAATTTTTTTTCCTTTTTTCAAGATTGTTCCAATGGGAGCTATATGATATAGTCGTTCGAACAGTCTTGTTTCGACTTATATTTGACCTGAAATAGAAAGTTTACTTTTGGAAAATTTTCTGCAGACAGATTTAAATCTGAGAGACTAGTTTGGGTAGAAACGGCAAGGAGGAAATATATATACTTTATAGAGTCGGAAATGTCTCTTCCACTGCGTTTGAAACTTTTGAATGAATTAAAAAAAAACAAAAACTTCTTATATCAAACACAAAACCTCTTGACGAGGTAAAAGTAACGTGCCGATCGCACCATCTACTCCAAAAACTTCTGATTTCACATTTTGTGACTACTATTGTTTATTTGACCAAAAAAAAATTACTTTATTTTTATTTAATTTGTTTTCTACCGCAATGTTTCAGTAAATAAGTACTACGATTTTGACAAAAAACAATTTTTTAAGTATTGAAAAAACCAAGAATTGCATTAAATCCCCTTCCAATAAGACTTTAATTCACGGGTTCCATTGATTCGATGAATGATTCGATCATCACCTTCAGTTCGTGCTCTACTTTCTGTAGACAAAACTTTTTTATAATTTTCTTTATGGCAGGACATATTTTTATAAAAAATTGTTATTCTATTTAGAATTATTCTGTGGTAAGCCGATCAATACCGCAGTCACTAAATTACAGACTGTAACTGTAACATGATTAATATAACTGATGTAGGCATGTAATATTTTACCAAATATTTTTTTATTTGTTTCTGTCTCTTATATCTGGTTAGTCCGTTTCCGGACTAGTCTTTTATTAGGTACAATTTAAGACCAGCTATAGAAATTTATAATTGTTTTCAAATTAAAAAAATTGAAATTAAGACCATGCAGAACAAAATATTACCAAAATGCTTCAAACCAGGGCTGTGAACCGATCCAAACCCAATGCTCTAGCTTATGTAAAAAATCCTCACAAGGATTTGTTTGCAAACCTGAAACCATACTCCTGTATAACTAACTATCCGTAATGTGAACACGAATTTGGGTTGAATCCTAGTTTACGTGCTAGCCAAACAATTTCGGTGTTCAAAGCCCTGGTAAAACACATATATATAAGCAATATCATTGAATTGGCTGATTATGTATTTCATAATATCGGTACATCTTGCATACTATTATTATATAATATGTTTTTCGCGAAACTTCGCGTTTATCCCACACCCAGTGGCATGCCTTGGGGCGTGAGGAGCAGGCGAAGTATTACGAGTTGGCGCGAAGGGAGCGACAACTGCACATGCAAATGTATCCCGATTGGAGCTCTCGTACAAATGCCTCTCGAGGCAAAAAACGGAAGCGGAAGCAAGATACCAACGACGGAGGTTAGATACATTTTCTTAAATTATTCTACGAATTAAAATCAGTATATATAACGACAGAAAAGATCAATTAAATATTAACATAGTTATTTATGAGAAAATTGATAGAGTCCACATATATTTTCCTTGTTTAATTAATTTCGAAATTTTCATATATGTAAATACTACTTACTCACTAAAAAATGTGTTATTCATAAATACGCTTTGAAATCAGAGTCAAAATAGTAAAAATATATTGGAAAAATAGATTGGCAGCCACATATGGTAGTATATGTATGTACATACAAACTTGTCGGTATTCAAAATTCAACAAAAACCTGATTCTAAATCTTTTAGGAAACATTTGTCTATATAAAGTATTTTATTAAAGTAATTTTTAGTGGCATGAATTTTCCTAGCATCCTAAAAAATTATTATAGTGCATGTTGAAAAACTAGTGTAGTAATCGATAATTAACAGTTTAAAGTAGCATAACAACTTTTGCATGTGTTTTCAAGTATGCATAAGTTTTATTTGTTTATTTAAGTTAAGTATGTCAAATAAGTTTAAAGAATTATAAAACAAAAATTTTGTTTTGTAATCGCAATCATCAATCATGATTTTGTAAAAATAATTTAACGCAGAGATAACCCATATTAGATATTGTTCATAATCACATCAACTTGTAACCGATATATAGCTTATTAACATTATTAACAGAAATAATTGAGATTATATTATTATATTAAATTGGCCTTTGTTTTCCTAGGTAATAATATGAAAAAATGTCGAGCCCGTTTTGGACTGGATCAACAGAATCAATGGTGCAAACCATGCAGGTATGTTTTAGCTTTTTTGGAGTACGTTGTTTTGTACTTTAATTGACTTAAAAACGTTGCTGCAAAGGACGTGTTACAAGATTCACGCAAGCATTTTCCACTCCGATGGCATTAAAAACTTCAATTTAAATTCAATTTAATTTTTAATTTTTCTAAAATTTTTTTTACTGATATGCATTGTGTGCTTATTATTGAGAGCATTACCGACTGAGCCATAGAATTAGATGCTGTTGTACGTAATAAAAATTATTTTTATCAAATTACTTTGTGTGAACCGCACTACAATTACGATGCAGAGAAAATATTTGCTTTAGAATAATATATATTATTTCTATATCGTGTCCCCTTCGTGTAAAAATAAATGGTATATTCAATTTGTTTAAATGTATGTAATATGATTAAGAAGACTTTGTTTTTGGATCCAATATTAAAGCCAACCAAATCTCTCCAATTTTAAAAAAGAAAAATGTATGGAATTTTAAGTTGTAAAATAAACATTGATAAATTACCATACATTTTCTTCTTAGAGAACAATCTAGAAAAGGGCAGAACAGTGTTGTCTCCAAATTTTAATTCATAATTTTGCTTAGTTCTTCCATGTATGTATATTATTAAATTAGTTGCTTTTGAGTTATTTGAGGCTGTCATAAACTGCCAAGCTTTTTCGTCATAAATTAATTAAGAACTCATACACTACAGTAAAGTTCGAATTTAAGTACTTTTTTATTCTGTTTATTATATTTTTGTCAGCTTCTGCTATCGCTAGAATTCCAAATTCAAATAACTACAAGAGTATTTGAGCATAGAGCGAGAGTGACTTAACAGACTGCGTTCTAACTTAACAGTAACGAGTAATATTGGGAGAGTAAGATACTGCTCTATTTACAACAGCTTTTATCAGCTGTAGCTCCGAACATCCTCCCCCTATTGAAAGATCTGGGCTTTTAACACGGGACTCAACGGAAAGGTTGCAAAACTTGGTAGCCGCTCTTCTTATTTTTCTAGTCGCGACTCGAACAACGCCATATGCTCTTGGGATGACTTCGGCGACTCTTGCTATAGGCCATTTCAGCGCTGGTAGGCCTTCATCCATGACGTTCATCCTGTTTCTCTTGACCGATGGTCCCGTTGAGCACCACTTGGCACGCTGTTGAATTACTTTCAAGTACTCTTCACTCCATCTTTTCCAAAAGGCTTGCCGGATGAACTTAGCTGTCAACAACAACAAGAGCTGGCTCAGCAAACATAAAGAGAGGTCGCCCAATTGAAAAGTGTGCTGGAGTAAGGACACCAAGATCGCCAGGATTATCTTAAAGTGGTGCAAGAGTACGGGAGTTAGCTATTGCCTGGATTTGACATATCACGGTGCGAAGCTCAGGACAGCTGATCCCAACGAGCGATACAAATGGTGCTTAGCCATTTATACGGCAACCTTCCATAACGCTCCGAAATGAGGCGAGCGAGGAGGTATAAAACACCAATCAAAACTCCTTGTCAGGTAATAATCATGTACTTTCTCTTGGTGCTACTGGCTTCCAAACAGTTGCGGTAATGCCTTCAACTCGTTCCTAGCCCCAACAATATTGGACACATTGTCAGACCAAATGCAGCGTGGTGATCCGCGCGTGGCGACACTTAGAAATTCAGCAGTTAAAAGATCCTTGACAAGCTCCATCCGTTGGTGGCAAAATAAATGAAGACGCTTTTATAGCATTTTGTTGTTGCTTTTGCACAAACGCTATTTTTCTGCAGATCAGCCATAATATATTTGACGAGACGAGGTCTTGCTCTACAACAAATTATTGATTTTAGGCCAATTTAGACCAATAATCGGCCAAGCGAATAAGAGGTGGCATTGATTGTAGACCTGCGTGCCGAGCCTCAATACTGAGAGTGGTGTTCCGAAGTCGACAGCCTAAACGAATTAATCAATGTTCATTTAAAAAGGAAGGAAGGCTGCTCGAAGGTTCTATCGCCTGGAACTAACTGTGCCTTTTGAACTTTTCGCATGAATACGAACTATGTGCCGAACATTGTATCTGAATCCAAGAGACATATCAGAACAGGAAGACTTTGTTCTGGAAGACACGGCTTAGGTCACTTGCTCTTTTCCTGATGTAGAAAAGATGGCCCACGCATCCATAAGTTTGAGGGGTATTGCTTTGCTCCTGGCAGCAAAACATGGCGCGGAAATTCCCCTCAGAAACTGCCTTGCAAAACTCCGACCATGCTGTTTCCAACGATTGTGGTTAACTTTCATCCTGTTGCAACTTGTGCCTCTACATTCTTTGCAATATTATTTTTTTACTTTACTTTACTGCTAAAGTGGGCCCGACTAGCCCTAGTGGTTCGAAAAATCTTGCTATGGCAACACTGAGTGCTTGTGTGGCTTCCATATTCAATATGACGGGAAAATATGAATAAAAGCCTATCTCGATGTGGTTCCCATACCAGTCCAAGAGTGTTTGTTGTGTCCGTTGGGAATACGACGGAAAACATCTGATGAATTAGTGCACCACTTTCTAATTCGAAAATTTCCAAGCTTTAAAAGACCAATAGTCTGGTGGATGATTTCTAAGACTCCGAATATCATAACGTCCATACAAAAATCACGTAAGATTATGGCTGAACTCAGGGGTCAAGAAGCACATTTACCCACCGCTAACTTGCACAGATAAAAAATGATGCTGGTTTTGTTCCGTATGTTACTGTGCCCAATTTGAAAACCTGAGCATACTGGGTTGGGGAATTCCGCCAAATGATAAACTTTAACATGGAATCAGGAGGAGCAACGCGTACACAACGGTACTTTTTACAAATGTCGCCTGTAGGAGTCACGTCAAAGGCGCGAAACCAAGTGAGGGCTATGAAGAGCTCAGCATGAATTGTAGATGAAGTGGTTGCAGATTCCAAAATACAACCCCCTTCTTTTAATTATTAAAATATTAACATTGGTATAAGGGCTTTTTAAACTATTGAATAAGAATCACCCAACAAGATAATATCATGTAACGAAACGAATAACTGCTTTTCGCACTGGAGCTTCTCCATTGACATCCATGCAATTTGCATTGTATTTCCCAGAATCGAGCTTCGAGCTCGTCCAATGGAGAGCCACCAAGCTCTTACGATAATCGAAGAGTTACGATAAACGCCGAATGTTTTGGGACCTGCTGGCCACCACCAAAAACAATCAAACCGAGATGGGTCTGTGTAAGAATCAGCAAATCAATGGCCTGCGGCACAAAAAATGAGGGATTAGCTTTCTGAATTGAATGTTCGATGGATTGACAATGACAAATGCGTAAAAGGTTTATTGGTTTTTGTTAAAGTTGGTTGGCGAAGCGAGCTGTCCGGAATGAAATTGAAATCCAGAGACCAAAAGCGTACGCAAACTGCACTGACGACTAATACCGACTCATGCGAATATGGAGATACATGGGTTTACGGAGCGGATGGCGAGGAGGCGAGGCGAGGATGACGAAGCGGATAACGAGACTGATGACGACGTGTAAGCCCTCAACCTCGCAGTTGAAGATTTCACTCGCTCGAACCCAAATATTTCACTTAATATGAGCCTGTAGAATAGGACAATTATTATCAAATTGCTTTTCATGAATTGATTGATATCGTGATGTATTTCCAACGAATTTTCTTAAGGCAAGCGGGATTTATTGGCCAAAACTATAATTGACTGCGTGTTACCAATGATGGCTACAAACGTCGAAATTTTAATTGAATTTAATACAACATAACCAAGATTAAAATAATTTTGTATTCACGACTAGGGAGTTTTTAAAGTGCCTTTTAATTTATGATATAAAAATTCAATTAAATAAAACGAAAATCGCGAGTGAACATCTTTTGTGTGCACTGGTTTCCTAAAGCCTTTTCCTCGCAAAGGCCAATATGGTCCTTAGCTCTCCGGATGGTTAAATATAAATCTAGCGCACACCGCGTAACAGGTGTGTCGAAGTCGTTGAGGATCGAGGTGCAAGTAATTCTCCCGGCGTCCTTCTAGAGGCATCTTCTAGCAATGCCAGAACCGGGGAGACCAGTCTTCTTCTGGGAGCTGGGCAGTTACAGAAAAGATGTTCCAAAAACTTCTTCGTCCCAGCATTATCGTATTCCTGCAACTGCCATTGTTGGTGATGCTAAGTTTAACTGACCCGGTAAAATTCCCAGTCCTAACTCTCTCATTGCGTTCCTGGCACATGATTTTTGAGATATTTGCCTAGCACTTCTGCCCGTTTCTTCAGAGAACTTTAGGGAGTTGGGCACGTCCTTTGTCATTTGTCAGTCCTAAGCCATCCTTTGCTAGTACGTCTTCGGTCTCGTTGCCATCAATGCCCTGGTGACGCACTATCTTAGTAGTGCTAAGGTTGTCTAGTGCTTCCTTGTTTACCAGTACATTTTTGGATATTTTCACTGCATGGCTGTCTACAAAAAAGTTGACCACGTCATGTGGACGTTCTGTTTTCTGTGCGACCTCCACTGCTTTCCTGATGGCAAAGATTTCTGCCTGGAAGCCTATAGGATAGCCTGATCTCTGGATCTGTGCAGTATAATCCCGCTCCTACTCTTCCTTGCATTTTGGAGCGTTCGGTGTATAAAAAAAGCTGCTCTTTCGACTTCTGAGGGAGTTTGAGGGATCATCTAGTCGGTTGTACTGACCAAGTCCCGGCCTATTGAACTGTGCCCAAATCCTTGCAGCGACATAGTGCCTGTTGCATGAAGGCGTTGAGCTTCCTTACCTTCGATCAGGTAACCAGGATATATAGGGGGTCGATTCCGAGTATAGTTCCGAGTGTTTTTGTGGGGGTTGACCTCAGCGCCCCCGTGATGCAGAGCATTGCTTGCCGCAAACTGTTATTTTCAGGGCTCTCCTCTTGAAGCTCTTGACTAAGTCATAACCCACCATAATCCATAGTAGGGGTGGGAGGTCACCTCCTTGTAGTTTGCCTCTGTGTGTCCCCTTCACCAGAAAGGTGGTGCCCCAT